ACTTTTAGTTGATCTAAAAATCTCAGTAGTGCATGCTTCTAATCCACAGCCACAGGAGAGGATAAAGGCAGGAAGAATGCAAGTGCAAGTCTTCCCTGGGTAACTTACACCTCATCTCAAAATAAACATGTAAAACGAGGCTGAGGATATAGCTCAGTGGTACAGCACCCCTTGGCTTCATTCCCAGTATGAAAAAAATAAATACTAATTCTTCAGGTCACACAGCTGAGCCCACTATATTATTAGTCTCCCACTGGCTCTATGGCAGATAACACCTCTGGTGTGCGGGGCTGGTGATAATGGTTGCCTAGGTTACTTTTCAGGGGCTTGACCACTTTTGTTGAAACCACTAACTCTTCCTCCCGGCCGTGAAAGTGGGCAATGGATGTCTTACTGTCTTCAAGAGACCACACCCTGCAACCTCAGATCATGCTAAGTCCGCCATTTTCTGAACATGCACCGCCCTCACCCCGCAGCCAGAAGAGATTGATTAAGCATGCGCACCTCACCTGCTTCTTCATACCGTAAATGTGCTCGAACTCTGTCCTTCAGGGAGATGGGTTTGAGACTTGGCTCTCCTCCTCCACATTCCTCCACACTCAACCACCTGGCAAATAAAATCTTTCTCTTTTGCAAATCTTATTGTTTCGGTGATGACAGTCTGCAGTGGGCAGAACGGGTCTGCTCGGGTAACACAGCTGTGTGAGTAACCATGGCGAGGCCCCACTGAGCCCCCCATGGAATTGCGAGAGTTATAAATCATCCAAGTTTGGATGCCCTAGCTAACTGCATGGGCCCCCGGTTTCCCAGGAGGGAACCTCCATGATATGAGGAGCCATGGTGTCAAGAACAATCTCCAAAACAAGAATGTGCCCGTTTTTTCCCTGTCCGTTTCTTTCACTAGTAATTATTGCCACTAGTTTAGATGAACTGGTCCTCTTTTCTCCATCGATCACAGTAGCATCTAGGATTAAAAAAGATTTGGGGAGGGGGGAGGGCGGAGATTTAGCTCAGTGGTTCCACCGCCTGCCCCGCAAGTGCAAGGTCAAGTGCAAGGGGTTCGATCCCCGGTATCAAAGGAAAAAAAAAAAAAGATTTGTAGGAAAAAACCCCAGCGTACGTAAGGTAACACGCAGAACTGATGTCAATGTGTGGACTCACTGAAGTCACAGAGTGGTCTCCACACGTGTGTACTCCCAACCTGGGTGGCATCTAGAGCGGATTCTCAAATACACACATGGATGGCTGTTTGACTGGTTAGTTTATAATGTAATAAACCTACGATGTTTATTCAAACATTGTGTGTGTGTGTGTGTGTGTGTGTGTGTGTGTGTGTTTTACTGGGGTTTGGATCCAGGGTCTTCACAATGAGCTATATCCTCAGCCCTCAAAAATAATCTATATCTATATACAGATTTATATCTATATATAGATTTATATCTATATTTTATCTTTTTTTTGAGAGAGAGAGAGTCTTGTTAAGTCACTAAGTTACCCAGGCTGGGGTTGAACTTGAAATCCTCCTGCCTCAGCCTCCCAGAGTGTTGGGATTTACAGGCGTGAGCCTCCACACCCAGCTTCAGATATTGTTCTGTGACATAGTACAGTTTAGAAGTGCAGAGAGGTGAAGCTCCCATGGGAGCTTGTGTGCTCCAGGGCTGGTTCCCCAATCCAGTGAGGGCTGCTGTCCTTACTTGGGCAAGTGTCTGGTCTCTGAGCACCGAAACCCCTTTCTGGTTGGGCTAAAGGGGGACCCTCTGTAAGTGCCAGCCAAAAATAGATCCAAGGCCTGTCAATTTTCAGGGCAGTGCTGCTCTTTCGTTCTGTTTTACAGCTGGGCAGGGGCAGAGGTGACTCTAGCAATTATTTTTCTTTGTAGATGTACAAATAAGACCAGTGGAAAAGAGAGCCCCAGATTGCATGTGGTTTTTGGTCCTGAAGGAGATTAACCAGTTCACTGTCTGACTTGGTAATCCTATCCTAACTTTTTTAAAAATTAAATTGCCTAAAATATCTAGTCCCTCTTCAAATGTAGTTTTGCAATTTTAACATTTTCCTGGTCTCCATATTAATGAATGAGTGAATACAAGTATTTGGTAGTTGTTCTTTTTACTGTTGAGTCATGTTATTTACTCTTTTGTGAATTGTACCATAACAGAGGCAAAAAAAAAAAAAAGAGGGGGCTCTCAGACAACCCAAGGTCTGAAGGAACCACTCTGTCTCCCAAGGCAGCCACTGCCAAGCTCTGCCCCTGGGCCACACTCATCTTCCCTCCCCTCCCCTCCCCTCTTCCTCTTCTCTCTCTCTCTCTATTGATCCCCGTGCCTGCTCCTGCTGTCTTACCACACCTTTAGGGAAAATGGCCAAGCTACAGCTCTCAGGTATGTGTACTCTTAATTTAGAAGAATAGCGTAGAATGACCAGAGTCATGAGAGAGAGAGAGAGAGGCTGCAATCATTGAGACTGAGGTCATTCCAGTTTCATTCTAGCATCTTCCCCTCGACCATGGGAAGAAGAAAGGTATAAAATGTTACCTGCAGTAGCAGCTCTCATGGTCTCACTGCTTCTTGATGCCCCCGAGAGAGCTGAGGCTGTCTGGAGGATGGAAGATGAGAAAGAGAACAGTTGTATTTGAATGGCGTTAGCCTCCCCTCCTATCTCTATAACTGTGTACCCTTTACCACTCAGCAATGCTTTCTCTGTCTTGTTCTTGATTAATGTTACCAAAATGTAAGTCATTTTAAATTTGGATGTCCAAAATTGTACTCTGAGCCAGGCGCAGTGGTGCACACCTGTAATCCCAGCATTCTGGAAAGCTGAGGTAGTAGGATGGCAAGTTTGAGCCCATCCTGGGCAAGTTAGCAAAGGGCAAAAATAAAAAAAGAAGCAGCTCAGTGCAAAGGCTCTGGGTTCAATCCTTCAATTCCCCCATACCACCACCAAAAAAAAATCTACTCTGGTTCTTTTTTCTAATTTGTTGTTCTTTATTTTTGTCTTCATTCATTTTAATTTTTTGCTTGGCATTACTTTGGGTGTTCTAGCTTTTCATGGCATACTGACTTCAAGTATGTGCATCTCTCTTCCCTAATAACAAGAACAGTTCATCCTCATTCTCTGTGCAAAGCTTTGCCTGCATCCTTCATAAGCCAAGATGCTCCCTGTCTTCCATGTTCCCATCTTCTAAGAAGCCCATGATTGCTGTTCTGGGTTCCTCCTTCACAGAAGGGTTACTTAAAGTCTTGTTTAACTTCCAGATTTTGAATTTTTTAAATTAACCTTTTGTAATTGATTTGTAGTTTTTATTACATTGTTGTCCAAAAAATCCCCTGCAGCACATCCTGCTATGGCGGTGGAGATTTTCTTCTTGTGACAGCTTCATAAACTGTGAGCTTAACATGATTACACACAAGCCCCAGGTCCCATGGACACCTAAGACAAACTTATTACCAAGCCTCTCTCTTGTTTTTCCTACTTGAGCTGTCAAAGATTGAGAATAGCGTGTTAATGTGTCTTACTACGATTTTTCTCGTGACCATTCATTCTTGTATTTCTTCTACTTTTGCTTTATATATTTCAAATTCAGTAATTTGCCACACCTGTGTTAGTGATCTGACCATCTTTATTGTGAATCACATTGTTATGGATGGCACACATGAATCCACTCTTTTAAACAGGGCTTTTTGTTGTGGGGAAAAGAAAAGTTTATGTCAGTGAACAGAGACTAAAATCAGGTACTAAAATCAGGGAGAGGTTCTAGCCATTAGCAGGGAAGGAAAACTATGCTTATATAGTTTTGGGGGGAGGGGCTATTATCATAAGGAATGTTTATGACCTGGATGCCCAAGGACAGTCTGATAGGGTGTGTAGATAGTCACTGGACTTCGCAGCACCAGGGGCATTGTATACTTCATTTTGTGTCCGTTTGTCCTATTTACTGAGAAGCTGCTATTGTTTGCTGAAAGCAGCCTGTTTGCTTTTTCCTGTTTGTTTAGGCCAGGCATGATGCATATCTCCTGTGCTGTTAATATTTTAGCCCAAATCTGTATCACATACTAATGACATAGCTTCAGGGTTTTTTTTTACCTACATTGCCTGATATTCATTCATTTATTCATTCATGAGCATCCACCAGGTGCCAGGCACTGTAAGGTGCTGAGGACAAAATGGTGAATGGAGGGCCAGGGATTTGGCTCAGTAGCACCGAGCCTACCTCGCAAGCTCAAGGTCCTGAGTTTGATCCCCAGTACAAAAAGAAAAATGGTGAATGGAACAAACAAGGCCTGCACCAATCTTTGTGGAGACCATGCTGTAATTTGCCAACCATGCTAGACTCCCAGGCACACAATCTCACACACATATGCACACCCTCACATTCACACAGTCTCACATATACACACACATACACCCTCACACACACTTCCACACACGAGCACACTTAAGACACTCACACACATTCTCACACTCATTTGTGCCCTGTAACAACATTCCTGTAGGGTGGATTTTTTGGTAAAGAATTTGGGCACTAAAAGTTGTGGACATTTTAAATTGACCGAATTTGCCCCATGCCCTCTCTCCAAAGACTTGACAATTTTATACTCCCACCAATGGTGAGAAATGCTTCTCTACCACATCCTTAAACAAACAGTATCTTTTTGAGATGTTTAGATTTAAACCAGTCCAATAGATGGTGACAGCGATATTTTTGCTAATTTACTTATTTTTCTTTGATTCATACACCTGAGCACTTTTAACCATATATTTGTCTTACCTATTTTTAGAAGCCCTGTATACATTTTAGATGTTAACACTTTGTCATACATCACAAATAAGTTTGAGTTTTGTTATTTGTTGTTTAACTTTATTGATGATGTAGTATGTATATACATATATATTTTTAATTAGGGTCCTTTCTCTTTTTCTTCTATCGTTTTTTATTTTGTTTTCACCTCTCAGATAAGAAAAAACATGCTTCTATATTTTCTTCTGCTACCTTAGCAATTCTTTTACATTCAGATTTTTAATCCATCCAGACATTTGTGAATAACATGGAAACAGAGGTGGAATTTCTCCCCAAGTGGAGAGTTAATGTCCTGGCAGCGTTTATGGACTAATCAGTTTAACAGTTCACCAAAAGTAAATTACTATTACCAGAGAAAGGGGTAGAAAAGGGGATTCTGGGCAGAGAACAAACACAAGTAAGTGTGTGCCAGTGCATAAAATTTGCTTCCCAAATTTTAGCGCCTGTAATCTAAGAAGCAGCCACAATTAGATGGTGAAGAGCATATTCCGCCAACAGAGAGCTCGCTGTGTTTAAGGAAGACAGATCTCATTTCATGGAGACAAGTTTCTGGTTTGAGTCCAAGATGCAAGAAGGTGGCCACTGAGACCTTAGCAGAGCCTCCAAATCTCAGAAAAGTGCCTAGGGAGCAAAGGAACACTTCCATGGTGATCAACCAAATACAAAGCCAAGTCCTTTGTTGTGATAAAACTCAGATGCTTACCTTGGAGAGAGAGGTTGTCATGGCAACCCTTTCAGAGACAAGGTCTTCACCAGAGACCAATTGTTTCAACTCTGGAGAACAATCTTTGCTTCTGTGATGACAGTTAAAGCCCAACAGGCAGGCCAAACCCAACAGCACCAGTCTGAACCACAGGAAGGCCTTTCACTGGATTTCAGAACACTTCAAAAATCCTAACACAAGGACTTAAGGGTATTTAAAAAGCTAAATCAAGTCTTGCATAGATCAACTGTTTTACTACATGGATATGAATAGTAAGATCAGACAGAGGCACAATTGAGACCACTCAGGCGGGCAAAGTCTAAGCAACATGCGATGGATGAGTTTATTGCCATCTGTGTGCAGATGGGCCAAGGGCAAGAAGGCCATTGGCACTGAGAGGAGGGCGCCCATGGTTGGTATGGGCATTTTAGGTGGGCAGGGGCGCTGCTCAAGAGGGTGGAAAATTTTAGAGTCCCGTGGGTGATGGGCCTGGGGCTGGCTGATAAACAGGGTGGTGGGGAGAGCAGCAGGGTGGCTGCCAGCTTCTTTTTATCTTTGTGCTCCTGTGGATGCGGGTATCGGGTCTGCTTGGGCGGGGGTCCAACTTGGAGAATCTGTCAAATATGACAAAATGAATAGTGTGATAATTACAGCAATTTTATGACAAGTTTGGGTACAATATGGGGCTATTCAATGCTAAATTAAAAGACAAGAACCTAAACTTTCTCCATCCTCATCATCTGTAGGTTCTAAACTATTATCTTTTGGTGTCTCCAACCTGTTTTTGAGTCCCCGGTACCTGGAGTCTGACAGACCCAGGCTGACAGTCCCTGGTGAGTGTACAAAAGGTTTAAGGGACAGCAGGTTTAAGAAAAAACTACATACAGAGGTGAGGACTGAGTTATGGGAACCTACAGAGGGAGGAGACGCATTTAGGGGCCAGACTACTTAGAGCATAGCACTCATACCCTTAATCCTAGTGCCCTTGAGCCTAGCATTGGACCACAAATCAATCACACACTCTAAATTCCACCACTTCTAAAAAAGTCCCACCTACCACTGCTTGAGTCATTGGGGGGACATCTAGACACAAGCCATAACGGTCCTGAAGCTGCAGTTTTCTTAAAACTACAATTTTAAAATTATAATTTTCCCCATCTTCTTTCTACCTTTATTTCTTCTACCATATCTCGGTTCTACAGTTTAAATCCTACCTGAGAGCATTACATGCTTTGATGTCCTTGTCCATAAAGTGCAGATAATAATATTACCAACGTCAAAGGGCTAAGAGTTGGTCATAAAAACCCTTGGGACAGTGCTTGGCACTGTTTAAATACTAGGTCCTCAAACATTGGCACCTTAGTAAAAAATAGTTAAGGAAATTAGCTGTGTAAATTATGTGGGTAAAGTTGACCCTAGAACTTCTAACCCATCTATCCCTCAAGGGTTTTTAAATATGTAAGGATTTAGAAAATTTACCCTCAGCCACTCTTTCTGAGCCTGGATGTAATCAACCAATAACAAGACACTCTATAGCTGAGGATGTAGATCAGTGGCACTACACCCTTCTGGTAAGTGAAAGGTACTCAGTTTGATCCCTAGTCTTGGGGGGGGGGGGATGTGAATACTATTTGTATGATCAAAAATATTTTCTTGCGATAACATCAATTCTATTTTGAATTATGCTTTTTGAATTAGTCTCTAGACAGATGAGGAAAAATGGTTAAAAGGGTTTATGTTAAAGGTAAATGTTGTTACCTTGAATATACAGGGCAGGGGATACACGTAACAGAAGCTGGAAAATTAGGCACAAAGAGAGGAAAAGCACATTACAGAAATCGATTGCCTCGATCCCCCTGATGACAAGCTGAGGATACCAGTGAAAATTGATGAAACAAGGCACAGATGTTTAAGTGAGCTATTTAATGTTACAAAGGTAACCATCATGGCCGACAACAAAATGTAAATAAGAAAAGGAAAGGGGTTGGGGTGAACACACCGAATCCTCTTTGGTCATGCTGAGGAGTCAGTCTGTAATGTCTATGGAGTAGAAATACAGGTATATTAATTATAGCAGGGGACATGAACACTAGAAAAGCTAAATGAAAAATGGTGTAATGTGACTGAAAGCAGAAGATCAAGAGGCAGCCATTAGAAGCCATTCTCTTTTAGAGAATTATTAAATTATTAAATTTAATAATTTAAATTTTTTACTGATGATAACTTCATGATATCTGCTATAGTTTGAATCTTCATGGTGCCACAAAGACCCAGGTGTTAAAGATTTGGACTGCAGGGTAGAGCTACTTGGAGGTAGTAGAAGCTTTAGGAGGTGGGGCCTAGTGAGAAGTCTTTAGGTCATTGGGGGGTGTGCCCTCAAATGAGACTGTGAAATACCAGTCTGTCACTTTCTATTTTATTTTTGCTCCCTGGTTCATGATATAAGCAATTTTGCTACACCATGTATACCTACCATGATGTGCCCATCTAGACCCAAAGCAATGGTGCTGGTTCAGTCATAGAGTAGAACCTCCAAAACTAGAATCCAAAATAAACCTTTTCTCTTTATAAAGTGATGATCTCAGGTACTGTTTTATAGTGACAGAAAGCTAACTAATATAACATCTAAATGTCTCCTTGATAATATTCAACAGATGGCTTTGCCACTTTAAGAAAGACTTGATCATTATCTGGAAAATGAGAGTGACATATAGATTGACAAACTTGACAACTTCTCAGTCAGTCACCATGTTTGGATCTTATCTAGAAACTAATCATAGCAGGTAAACTGAAGAGCACTTATGGAGAAGTTAGTTCATATTAAGGAATTGTAAATAAGTTGGAGGGATTTCTGGGGATTGAACTTGGGGCCCTCATGCTGAGCTACTCCTCAGTCCTTTTTTATTCTTTGCTTTTTTTGAGACAAGATCTCACTAAGTCACTAAGTAGCCCAGGCTGGGTTTAAACTTGTGATCCTCCTACCTCAACCTCCCAGAGTGCTAGGATTACAAGCCTTGCCACAATGCCCAGCTTGCAGGGATGTTATGGTTTAAATACAAGGTGGCCCCAAAGACTCATATATTGAAGACTTGATCCTCAAGGCAGCAATGGTCAAAGGTGGGCCCTACAGAGGTAACTGGATCATGAGGACCCTAACTTCATCGATAGATTAATTCATGGATAAGTTCACAGCTGAATGCGCTATTAGGAGGCGGGGCCTAGTTGAAGGAAGTGGGTCACTGGGGTTATGCTTGTGAAGGGTATATGTGGTCCCTGACCCCTTCCTGGATCTCTGGCTCTCATCCTCTCTGCTTCCCTGCTGCCTTGTGGGGGAGCAGCTCTGCTCCAACACACCCTCTCCACCATCGTGCTTTGTCTCACCTTGGCTCACTTTCTTCCCTCATGTTGTTTATGTCAGGTATTTATCACATCAGTGGAAAGCTGACTAACAAAAAGGAGAAAGGGATGAGTAAGATAATGGTTCTTATTTTCCTTATTTTTTAGAAATACAAAGAGCAATATTTACAGATGAGATGAGATGACGTCTGGGATTGCTTCCAAATTATCCAGTGGGAGGGGGTATGGATGAAACCTAAATGGCAAGACATGTGGGATTTATCATACTATTTTCTCAATTCATGTATATGTCTGAAATTTCCTGTATTAAAGCCAGGAATGTATACATTAAGTGGATGTATACATTAAGTGGCAACAACATTACATTTTTACTTCTTATTTTTAAGTCAAATGTATGTTGTTCTGTGTAAATTTCTAATTTGGGCAGATTGTCCTCTTCTAAGGGATCTGAACATAAATTTCTGACCTAAAGGGTTGGAATGTAGGCACAATGGGAGTCACTCTGACCCTTGGGTGATGCAGACCTGAGAGAAGCTGGCAGCACACAAGACGGGACCTTTCGTGGTTCTCCGCAGAACTCTAGGGATCTCCTGAACTAGTCCTGAGCCCTGTCTACATCAAAACCTGGTCTACACTTAGCTTGCTGCCTTGCAGTGCATGCCAGGCCCAGATCCCAATTTGGCTCGAGAGGGGACCAAGATTTGCGACTGAGAACCAGACTGTCAGCTAGAGCCATGCATACAGTGGACATCTAATAACTACTTAACTGAATAGATGGGAATCAAAGCACAGGAACTGAAAAAAGTAACGTTTTCCCAGGGATAGGGGAGATCTGTTGATAAAGTCCATAATAAAAAAAAACTATATGATTTTTACTGTGGTCTGAATGTTTGTATCTTCCTCCAAATCCACATGTTGAAATCTTAACCCTCAGGAGGAAGGTAGTATCAGGAAGTGGGGGCCCTTGGATGGTGATTAGATCATGACAGTGGAACATTCAGTGAGATTAGGGACCTTATTAGACAGACAGCCTCTTCCACCATGTGCAGGCATAGCTAGAAGCATCAGCTATGAGGAAACAGCCCTCACCACATACTGACCCAGCCTCCATCTCAGTCTTGGACTTCCCACCCTCCGGGACTGTGAAAAAAAAATGTCTGTTCTTTATGACCACCAATTCGTGGTATTGTGGTGTAGCACTCTGAAAAGACTAAGACAAAGTTCAAACAAAATCCGAGAATGTCCTAGCAACAATAAGTTGCCCACAATGCAAATTTTCTGGTGATCCTTTGAGGGTTATTTTTGCTAAAAAGTGCCTGAGGATTTTTATTGATTCTTCTCAAAATTCAAGTATTTACCTTTTTAGGGTTCCATATTATTTCTCTAGTATGGTTATTTGTTGATTGGCATAGTGTGGCCACTGCAACCTACCCAGTGTCATACACATGCAAAAGGCCACCGTAATACTAAGTCAAAAAAATGTAAGAAACAAAACATGTTTCAAAAATATGACTTAAACATAAGTGGAGAAGGCATCGCAGACATGGCAAGATTCCATATAAATTGCTTCAGCTGAATTTAGACACTCAATTAGGCACTTAATTATCCTGAAGCCTTATTGATGCCCTGTTAGAAGTGGTCCCACCCCTTCTAATCAGAGAGGCAGGCCACCTCCCCGGAGGAGGCCCAGGCAGGTCACACGCAGTGAGGGTATGGCAGCATCAATCAACAGCTCCCAGGCCTCCTCCCTCCTGTTGTCCGGGTCACAGTACTCATTGCACAAGCATTTTCCCCTGAGATCTTCTGAAGTCTGAATTTTAAATGTGGATTTTCATTCAGGACTCCAAGCAGACAATGGCTCTGCATGGCCCCCCTCTGAGGATGTCAACCTTTAGTGACAGCCAATCGCTCTCAGACCGTCAAGGGTCATCATGCGAGCCTCTCCGGTAAGCTGCTGAAGTCAGGCCCTGACTGATGGAGTCTGTTAATGGTCCATGCCTCCCCCCAGCCCATTAATAACTCACCTCCAGAGGCAGCAGCTCTGGTCCCTGCCCCTGGTATGGCATTATATGATAATTATACTCACATTAGTTTTTCATACCCTTTGGACAGAAATGTGCTCATTTGGATTCTTAGACATTAAAATCTTATAAAGTTCTCTAGTGACTTTAGGTCCAGTTTCTTAATTTGGGTGTTTTATTGGAATGAAAAGACATAGCTTCCAGCTCCCTACAAGAACTGAGTCCTCAGTAGATAGGTAAAGGACTCTAATCAGAAGCTCCTGAGCAGATGAATGTTATGTCTCACACCAGATTCAGCACCTTATTTTAAAATGTTCATCAAATTACAGTTATAATTACAGTAGTCCCCCCTTACCTGCATGGGACACGTTCCAGACCCCCTCATTTCAGCAAACTCCATATAGAAGCACTTCAATACCACAACAGTAGATCTGATAACCAAAAAGGCTAATACTTGACTAAGAGCCACAGTAGTAAATGACCTCGCTCATATGAGGAATCTTAAAGAATTAAAGTCATAAACATTAAAGAAAAGTGTTATCCAGAGGCTGAAGAATCAGGAGAAATGGGGAGATGTGTGTGAAAAGCTACAAATTCATGTATAAGAGGAATACATTCTGGAGATCTATTCTATGGTATAGTGACTCTAAGTAATAATAATTTACACTTAACATTTGCTAAGAGAGTAGTTTTTTTTGTTTTTATTTTTGTTATGTTTTGTCTTTTGAGACAGGGTCTCGATATACACTTCAGGTTGGCCTTGAACTCACTATGTAGCCCAGGCTGGCCTCAAACTTGCAGCAATCCTCCTGCCTCAGCCTCTTGAGTGCTGGGACTACAGGTGTGTGCCACTATGCCTGGCCAAGAGAGGACTGTAGTTTTTAAATATTCACACATATAAAATTGATAGCTAGTGAGGTGATAGATATGTTAACTTATTATGGCTTATATCTAAATGTACCCTAAAGCTTCATGACCTCATTGGTGGGGCTTCCGGGAGGTGACTAGATCATGGGTATGTGATACTGGATTAGTCCACTGATGCATTTACAGCTGGGTGTGATGTTGTTGGAAGATGAAGCCCAGTGGGAAGAAGTGGCTCACTGTGGGGATGGCCTGAAAGAGTATATATCTCTCCTCCTTTCTTGATCTCTGCCCTGCTTCCTGCCTGCCATGCCATGGACTCTTTCTCCTTTCCAATGCCCCTCTGCCATGCCGCCCTGCCTTGAGGCCAGCCAACTATGGACAGAAACCTCTACAGGCTATGAGCCAAAATAAACCTTTCCTCCTTTAACTTGTGGGTGTAGGGTATTTTGTCCTAGCAAGAAGAAAGTAACTAAGATACTTACAATAATCATTTCACAATATATATGGATATCAAATTATCACATCATACATCTTAAATTTACACAATTTCATTTGTCAGTTACATCTTAACAAAGCTGGGGGCAGAGGGAAGGTCCATAATCTGTGCACTGACCATCCTACTATTTGCTCCATGGTCCGCACCTTTCGGACTACGAATGCCCACAAAACAGGCAGCAGCAGGAACTGAAGACCCCACAGGCACTGGGTGAATCACTCACTCCTCATGCATCAGCATCAGACATGATAGAATTGTCAAGGTGCCCCAAAAGGCCAAAAAACCTTGTGAAACATCAGTCATGGGTCCCTTTCCAGAGCAGCTGCTACCAGCTCAGACTTAGGAGCTACACTACCAGCTCCTCCAATTACCAGTGGCTTTACCTCTCTTAATCCACTTCCTCATCTATAAAATGGAACTGAAGTAGGATTAAAATAAATAGTGCCCAAAATGCACAAAGCATTTTCCTCACTGCTAAGGGAAGGGTTCATATGGCATTGTTCTTAATTCCTGTTGTAACTTAAAGGGAAACGTTCACAATTTCCAGGGCCCTTGATTTTTTGCAAATGAAGGAGGAAGATGTGCTCAAATTCCTTGTAGCAAGAGCCCACTTAGGTGGC